GTACAAAGGGTGGATTATGACCTTCCTTTTAATTCTGTAGCTAAAAGTGAGAGAAGGTTTATCTTTGCCAGTTTGTTATTGCTGGTAGGTTGCTCGTGCTGTTAAATAACCATGGGAAGTTTAACAAACCGTGAGGATCTTTTTAATTTGTCCCTGGAACAGCCATTTTAACATCCTCTTTGCTTCATTTTTTTTTTTTTGCCATCCGTAAAAATTCTCCCCCACCTCTTCCCAAGCATCACATGCTGCACAAATCTTCCTGTGGCCTTTGGAAACACGTTATGTAACTGGAGTGCATCGTGGCTGGTGCTCCCTGCTCGTTCTTGTTAGCAGCACAAACGTCGTGCAGTGCTGAACTGCGGCCATTTTCCACTCTGAGTCACTCTTTATTTATTACTGGAAAACGCAGAAAATATTTTTCAGTATAAAGGCTCAAATCTGAGCTAACTCTTGTTAATCCCAGCTGAAGTGTTGGGTCATGCCAGTGGAGCTTCCCTGGCCGTGAGTTTGGCCCAGTAAATGAAATCAGTGGAGCTTGAGTGACAAGAGGCTCCTCCCGCTGTTGCTGAGAAGCCAGGAGTTAAGTCACTGTTGATGAAGAACATGTCACTGCTCCAGCTATTGCTCCAGAGCGTGGTGTGAGGCTCTGCTCTGGGACTCTGAGGCCACAGCACGCTCCATTGCTTCCAGATGTCCCGGGGCTAAAAATAAGCTGTGAAATCTCCGAGGCAGATCCTGGTGCTCAAACAAAACCTTGACATCCATATAAAGCATCTCAGATGGCAGAGCCTGCATGACTAATGTTACCTGCACACACCTAAGATCCCATTGTGAATTGATGGATGCTGTGAGAGCCCTTGTTTCTAGTGCCAGCACATAAATGAAACATATATAGATGATTATTGAATTTTTTTTTCTTTTCAATTTTTGTTCTTTAAGTGTGGAATGGAGCGTTTTGTTGCTCCATAGGAGGTGGTGGTAACACTGTTCCTGCCTCTGCATACCATGTGCATGCTGTCCTTGGATTATACTGGTCTGCTTCAAGCCATACAATTGCTGTATATTCATTGGCACTGGAGGAAAATTGCTCATTGTTCGTGGATCCACCTCTGCTGTCCACAAAAGTGAAAAGATCAGGTTGTTCCTGCTACAGTCCAATTTGTGGGATTATTTATTTGCTGATGATTAAACTAACAACAAGTGCTTTCAGGCAAAGAGCACGCATCAGGAAGAATTGCTTTTATGTATTTTAATTACATGCCTAGTTTGTGGAGTCTCTGTCACACATCCTGGGGCAAAATGTAAAAGAGAAAATAATTATATGAAGATGCATTGTTCAGGCATCCCCAGTGTTCAGTCCATTTTAAACTCATAAAATAATTAATAGACTGAAGAAGCAAATTGATGAGACTGAAATAGTCTGTGGCTACTTTATATTGCTTTTGTCTGATCTCAGCTGTGCAAGTTCTCTGAAGCAACAGAGGAATTTTTCTTTCTGTGCATGTCCCAGTTTAATTATGACTCTTCCAGAATCCTGATTAAAGAAAACTGCCTTATGTATGATTGGATATTTGCACCCAAGATTAAAAATTTATTTTTGGAGAAATAGCCAAAAGTTGTTTAGTCTTAAAGGACTCTCTTTCTGTCTTGTAGCTTTGTTTCAAAAAATGTTATTTGCCATTAATTGTAATTTTTAGTTTTGAGTTGAATTGGGCTACTTGAATTGGGCTTCAGGAAACTCTAGTGTGGGCTTTTCTCCACAGTTCAGTGGCTTTCTCTCCACAGAGAGGACCCTTAGGCTATGAAATTGTCTTTATCCTCCTTTACCTCAGAGTAAGGGTCAGCTCACAGCAATTGCTGACCGTGGTTCACCAGTTCTACCAGGCGCTTAATCCCTTGCAGTTTAATTGACTGGGAAATAGTCCATGTACAGTATTGACTGAGCTTTCATTAAAATTAAAAGTGAAGTATAACCTTACTCCAGGAAACAATTTTCGTTCCTTTGACTGAGTGTAGAAAAGCCAAAAAGGCGTGCATAGAGTTCTCTGTGTTTTGAAGGAGACATCCAAAGGGTCAGGTGAGCAGGCATTTCTTGGATCACACCCTTTAACCTCAGAAATCTTCTGGTTTCTTAAAGTCTCCATAGCTTCTGCAGTACTTCCTTTACAAAGACCAAAATCAATTAAAACAGGGAAGAATAAATCACACTCCTGAAAATACAAAAGAACCCAAAGATAGTTCTAAAAAATAAAAAAGTCAAGACTAAGTTGAAAAGAAAATTTTAGCCATGCTGAATATAAACTGGAAAGTTTATATCAAACTGCCTTTGATTTTGGAACCTAGTAAAAACCTCTTTAAATTTGCTTGGGCAGTGGAGATTCAGGGATCTGTCTGATCATATCAAATTGCAGCATTCTGGCTCTTGTGTCGTGATCTGGAAACATCAATTTGTTTGTGCACATTAAACAAATACACAGATATTCTTTCCTGATACTTATCGTGGCATCAGATGGGTACAAGATTTTTGTGTTTTTTTCTAAAGCTCACTTAGGAAAGGGAAAAATAAATGTACTGCATGGAGACACAAATCTGATCCCTTAAGAGGCAAACATCATCTCATTCTTCATAGCCTTTTATTGTGGCCCTGAGCAACTGGATCCAACTCTGAAACTTGCCCTACTAACTGTGTGCTTCCTCACTTGGACTCATTTGCTACAGAAAATAGAAAGGATGTGATTTCTCTTCCTTTTTAACCCTGCAGGGTCAAGCCAAGAATCAAGAGGAAAAGCAGATTGGCCTTAGAAGTTCCTTTTTTTCAGTGGCTGTGTTTGGTGCTTCCATTTTCATCATACCAGAATAGCTGGGGAGATAAAAAATCGATTCCCCAGCTTCATGGAATCAAACCTTCAAAGTGGTTTCAACCTAGATGGGGAAAAAATGTCAGTTATATGTGTGTGGCCCTTGCCAGAAACACAGAACAAATTGAGGCTGCATAGTTAATTTTAGGGGCCCTGTCAAGGAGTGTGATTTATTTGTTTTGCTATTCCAGCAGGCGTTGAACATCTGGCCAAAACAGATGAAGCCCCTTTTGGATAACTTTAAAACAGATAACCCGAATGAAACAACATAATAATTGGATGTCCACGTGTGGAAACCTTTAACAGTTTGTTTTGCGCAGTTATCTACACCTATAGGGCAAAGCAGAAATGTTTAGTGATGCAGGTGGGAAATGCTCTCTGCTCCCCAGGTGTGGGAAGGAGGGGAATTCCTGTGAAACACTGTAGTAATCTCCAAGTTTGGGGTGCAAAGTGCTTTCTAAATGTATCTTTTTTTCCTAGCAGCATATTAGGTGAGGTTAGGAAGATAAGATCTTCTGAATATGAATTTGAAGTAAGCATCCAGTGGCTGGAAGTCTTATATTTTATCTTTTTGTTTCCTGATGTTCAGTAGATTTTGTATGGTCTCTACTGACTAAGGACTTCCTAATTTTTCTACGTTTCAGGGCATGTGTCATGACAAATTTCTTAAGTCTTTTGTAATTTCCATCTTATCTGGCTAAACCACCAGCTACTTCTGGCCCTACACACCCTTTCACAGACTGCCAGGTTCTGCAAGTTCCTGTCTTCCAGTTTTTCCCAACCTGAATGTGATGTGACATTCTGTTATAAATAAGTTCATTATCTAAGAGTTTAACCTGTTTGTTGAACTTCCCAAGCGGCCAGCTCTTTAATAAGAACAGGTTTTTAATAGGCCTAGGTGGACCTTCTGTGTTCATTTAAATTATAATCTAGACCATATCTGAAAGTAGGCTAATACCCAAATCCACTGAGCCACAATACCCACAGCTCTTAGTTCGTAAAATTGTGTCCCTCAGAAGTTATTCTGCTTGACCCACTTCCTAAATCAGATTTCTACACCTGATGATTTGTTTTGGACAAAGAAATTTGGGGATTTTCATCTGTTTGATGTGAAGTGCTATGGTCCCAGGCAGTACTGGGAAAGAAGAAGAACAGTGTCTGTATGAAGGCTTGTGGTTTTTTTCTCTAAGCTGGACACTTCGCTGTGCCCCAGTGGTTTACTAGGCTTCAAAAATGCAAAAGGTTTGGTGAAAACGGGGGCTCTTAGAAGACTGCAAAAATGCAACAAATGCAGTATTTCAGTTTTGATGTGTTTGCATTTCACTAGCGTGCTAGTTCACTCATGCTGAGAAACTTGAAATGGCCAACAGTGAAGCTTCTACAGGAGGAAGAGAAGTTTTTCTGGGGTGCCTGAAGTTGTTCTGGCTCTTGAATGCTTGATTGGCCTTGTTCTACTGTTCTTGTTTCTTTTGGTTTCAAATTCAGAAGGCTTTTTTTTTTCAAAACAAAAGCATTTAGTGGTACTTTTCATGAGCCTTTCTCTTGCAGTGTAAGTGCTTTACTCTTGCTGTGATCTGCAGCACTTCAAAAACAGGAGTTGTTTTGCTTCCATTGCACTAATAGGGAGAGGGGCTTTTCTAAGAGGATTCAGTCCAGCCTTGTTTGTCATTTAAGCAACTTAAGAGTTCGAGTCAGGATGGCTGGGGTCATACAGGCCTGAAACCATTGCATCTAATTAAAATCCTTAACTGGGACACTTCACTGGGGGGGAGCCTGGTCATGCCAGCCCCGTTATTTAGTTCAGGCAACCTGAACTCCAGAGAGAGCTGCATGGCTGCCACTTCACCGTGTAGGAGATAAATACCCTTCAGCTCCGTGTGGAGCATCTCCTGCTGGGAGTCTTGGACAGCAGGAGCTGTGTTGGAGACTGCTGTTTGCAGCTATGGTGTCACAGGGAGGACAAGGCTGAGCCTGGGGTTTTTTTAAGCTTCTCAGGTTTTTGCTGTATATTTTCATATTAAAGACTTTTTAAAAAAAAATAAATCATCTTTAAAATTGCCGTTGACGAAGGTGAGCTGCCGCAGGTGACCAGAAAGGTTGTCCCCAAAGCCCTTAAAAGCCCTTATTTCTTCATCTTCTCAGGTACCTGCTGCAGGAAAGGACAGGACAAGACAGCACCATGTCTGCAGTCTCAGCTTATTACAATGGGAAGACCGTTCTTATCACGGGAGCGACGGGTTTCGTGGGCAAAGTGCTGGTGGAAAAACTCCTGCGCTCCAGCCCGGAGGTGAAGGCAGTTTATATTCTTGTCAGGCCAAAGGCAGGACAATCAATGCAAGAGAGGGTGGCCAACATGTTGAAATGCAAGGTAAGAAGTTTCTGTGGTTTATTCTAGAGTCTGGTCTGAAATCCATTTGGGTGGAGCACAGGACTCCCGTTTTACTCAATTCATGAAGAACCAAGTTCTGCTGTAGCTGTTGTGTGTTTTTGCTGTGTCTAAAACAACAACAAAAAAATCTTACATTAATGAACCTGGGTCTGATTTTGATAGGTAATGCAGCATTTTACACTGTAATGTTGTAATCTTTCTACTTCCTTTTTGCATTGCTGTTTGGTGAGAGTTTTCTTTGTCTAAAGTGTGTTACCGTCCCAAATTTCATTTCTGCAAGAAGAGCAGCATTTTGCATTCATAAACTCTGTTCCTTCCCCCTCCTTTTATAAAGCCTAACGTGTGAGCATTAGCATTCAAAAATAAAACTTGAGTGTGAGCCCATCACACCCTGCTCCTCACCCTTATTGGAAAATTAAAATAACTTCACAGGATAAAGCCTCGTGGCTGCATTGCTGCAGTACAGAAGGGCATCTGCCATCTTCTCTGTCAGCTCCAGCTTAACCTCACTTAGCAAGGGATAAAACACTGCTGCATTTGGAAAGGGTGTTTTCCAGAGATGTTTCCAGTAGAACACAAAGGCTGAACAGCAGAACCTGTGTGACTTCCACCCACGTCGCTTGATTCTGCAGAGCTTTTCGTTTGCCATCCTGGTGGGGAAATCCAGATTTCCAGTGGCAAGAACAATGTCAAAAAGTCCTTTGCTATATTTAATGTAGAAATTTATAAGGAGACACTGCTAGACCAGTTCTCTAGAGTGGACTTGGCCCGAGGACCTCAAGACTCTTGGATCCTCAGGCTTTTAGGCCAGTGGTGAGGTTGTGGACTTGCTCAGACTCCTCCAGCTTTGGTAAGTGCCAGAGTTCAAGCTCATGCTTAATGCTAGTGTGACTCTGTACAGAGCTGATGTGAAATGAGAGGAAGGGACAGATCTGGTCCTAGCAGGCAAGGAATTACTTGGAATTAATCTGAGAAATGTCAACATATTTTTAGAAGTATTGGCCTGTAAGTTTGAACAAGACTTGACTGGAAGAATAGTCCTCCTCCTTCTACAGAAGTTAGAGGTAAAATAGGACTGTAGATAACTTTGAGATAAGAATGACTGGGAGAAAAAAAATGCATTTTTTTCTTTTAATGTTTTGAGGCAGCAAGCTAGAAAAGATCTTATGTCTGTCCAAGAACAGAGTTCGATTATTTTTGGTGTGTTTTTAACGGAGGGTAGGTTGCTTTCATGTTCAAGAAAATTCGTGACATAAAAGGAAGCAATCCCATTGGTTGTTTTGTGCAAGTCTCTCATGGAATGGTTTAGGTTCGAAAAGACCCTGAAGATCTTTAAGTCCAGTGTTTAAGCCAACACTGCTGAGTCCACCACTAAACCCTGCCCTGAAGTGCCACATCCACATGGCTTTAAATTCCTCTAGGGAGGGTGATTCAACCACTGCTCTTGGCAGCCTGTGCCAGTGCTTGACAACCCTTTTGGAGAAGATTTTCTCCCTAATGTCCAGTCTAAACCTTCCCTGGTTCAGCTTGTGGCTTCTTGTGCTGTCACTCGTTCCCTCACCTGGCTCCTCGCTCCTGTCAGGGAGTTGTGGAGAGCAAGCAGGTCCCCCCTGAGCCTCCTCTTCTCCAGGCTAAACATCCCCAGCTCCCTCAGCTGCTCCTCACAGGACTTGTGCTCCAGACCCTTCCCCAGCTCCATCCCCTTCCCTGGACACACTCCAATGTCTTTCTGGTAGTGAGGGCTCCAGAGCTGGACACAGAACTTAGGATGTGGCTTACCAGTGCCGAGCCCAGAGGGACAATCACTGCCCTGGAATTGCCAAACCTAATTATTTGTCAAGACCTGTATAAGCTTTGTTTGCATTTTATGTATAAATACCACTGGCTTATCTCTCCAGTTGGCCAGCACAGCTTGGTGATGGTGTTAGCTCTAGGTGAGGCTCCCTTGGAGCTGTTTTATTGTTGCGGCTGTACCAGATTGCACCCATTTTCCTTCTCAGCATGTGTCAGCAGTTTTAGGCATGCCAACAGCAAACAGGACTTGATGACCTCTCCTTGAACCTTTGACTGCTTCAAGGGCTGTTTCAGATGAGCAAAAGGAGGAGGCAGGTCTCTAATTTAGGTTGCTGCAGACTTAGAGTTAGAAAAACTCTAAGGGTGCATTCACAAGTCTTCCAGATCCTCTCAAGGAAGGAGCTGTTTTTTGTGATGCTGATCTTTTTAAAGTAACTAAAAAATTCTTGCCTAAGGCATAAACCCTGCTCTTCAGAGGTGTTTTCCTTGTGAAAATGTTGACAGCCTTTGAGATTTATTTTTCTAGTAATGAAACTCTTGATTCCACTAACTGTTAATTTCGTGGCAGATGAAGAGGGCAAAAAATACAATTCTTAAAATTTTTGCAGATTGTTTCCAGTTGAGTTTGCTGTATGTCTTTAACCCATAGAATGGGTCATTCACAATCTAGAGATTGCCCTTTCATTTACAGTTGTGGTTTGCATTCTCCAGTTTTGGGAAATCACAGAATCAGCTGGGTTGGAAAAGTCCTCTGAGGTCATTGGGTCCAACCTTCGACCTAACACCATTTTGTCAGCTAGATTCTGTGATTCTGTGATTCATTTTACATTTAGTTTTGATCTACTATCATCCTCTGGAATTTCTTGTTTTCACACCCACCAGGGCAGTATTCCAGGAACCAGAGAAACAGAGAAAAACAGGTTGCCAACTTCTGAATATTCTAGACAAAGAGATAAAATGAGTGTTTGGGATGAAGTAAGATGAAAGCAGACAGATAGATTGGCCAGAATTAGTTACAGTGCATCACGTTTGGGCGCTTCAGGTAAGGTCCTCTGGGCACTCCTGATTTTTGGTAGTACTTACAAAGATTTTGAAAGAACTTGCCTAGAACTTTTGATCTCTCTTCGTGTATCTCTGTGAAATTTTTGTGGCTTTTGTCATTACATCTACAGGGGTTTAAACTCTGAGGTGTCACATTTGTGAGCTGTCTTGTTCACAGTGTGTGTATGTGATTGTGCTGGAAGATGACTCCTGTTAAATAGAAAAGCAACTGTAAGTTACAAAAGGGTGATGTGGTGTGAAGGAGCAAAATAGCTGAGTTTGTGCTTCTCAGTGTTTTTTATGTTTCAACTTCTGAATCCAACATGAAGAGTAAAATACAAAAAATAGGTTGGTTGTAAATCAGAATTCTCTGTCTGTGTTCTGCAGCTGCACAGACAGCTTTGAAATGTAATGCTGGTTTGCTCAGATCTTGTTAAATTAGTTTTACATGTGGATGCATTATTGCATTAATAGGAAACATGTAATGAGCAGATACTCAATTATCTCAGCATCAAATCCAAAATGAGCATGTGCACTGAGGAACATGTGGTGACCTTGCCTATTTCTGAAAGGAGATGTTCTATTTTCCAGCAGCAGGTCCCTAAGGGAATCAAGCTATTACCCTGTGCTTAATGAAATGCCATGTCTGCGTTGCACAGAGCGCAGATGTTACACAAAAAAAACCCCAACAAAATTTCAGTAGTGGCTGCAGCCTGCAGATGTGGATCACGAGGCAAAGCTTGACAGTGCTTGTTTAATCGTTAGTTGATGGGAGGTGTGTGTTTATCAGAGGTAGGGAATTGTTTCAAGGAGTAATTCTTGTTGTCTGATCCCTCTGTGCGCAGGAATAGGCAGGAATGCTTGGAGGGGTTGTCTCAGGTTCCCTGGAGAACAGTTATGGGCTGATGCTGAGTCACTGATTGTGGCTTTCCCGTTGTCCCTGGGAGAGCAGAGCATTTTCCATGCCCTGCATACACTGAACCAAGGCTGCTACTGCTGCTGCTGCCAGCCTGTTTCTCAGATCTGTTTGTTCAGTGCTCCTAATCAGAAAGATGAGTCAAAGTGGGGAGTGGAAAAGGCTCTTATTAGTGTTTCTGATAATTCAGAATAAAAATGGGGAGGCTGTGAAGCCACTGAAAATGGGGAGTGGGGTGTGACCAGAAATACATCAAAGTGCTGCTGCTTTTTCCCGTTGTCCAGCCACAGCAACCCTTATAGTTACAGTGGATGGTACAGACTGACCTTCTCTTTCCTGCAGAGCTTTGTCTGGAACTGCACATTAGGATGGGACTGACCAACTGGGAACAGCAGATGCTTAGTGCTATCAGATACCTCTTCAGTATTTCCTTGACAAGTGTGCTATATCAGCAAACATACAGCAAGACCCTCTGTTAGCCCTATAAATGTCACCAAATCACGCCAGATTTATCTTTTCCCACCTCCTTTGACTCTCCCTCTCTCTGCTCCCCTCACTCATGGCTCTTGCTCATCACCTTAAGCAGTAAAAGTTCTCCAAGGCAAACCAGCACAGCATCACTCCATGTGAATCCCCTCACTCTGACTCTGCAGTGGTGCACGTACCTCAATCAGAGTAATGAGATTTTTAGGTTGATGGAACGGGATCCCACTTGCTCAGTAAGAGGTCTGGAAACTGCTAATTGGAGTGAAACAGAGCTGAAGGTGTTTTCTGCTTTATTGCTTGTTTAGATTTGCCTCGCTTTTGTGAGTAAATTAGCAGAAATAACTCTGGTACTTGTGTACCAAAGGAACAAATCTGTCATTTTAACAAAAACTAGTTTCTTACTTGACCCTCTGATTTGGAAACCACGTTGTAGGGAGGAGTTACATCTCCAGGGTGGTATCTGACATGAGTGTGGGCAAGATTCTTAAAGCAGCCTCTTCCTCTTTCCTGAGCTACCACTAAACTGTTCCTTGTTTCATTTCAGTTCTTTCTGTTCTCCAATTTGTGTTTCTGTTGCAAGACTGGTATGCCAGACAGAGATTTAGAATTCCTTTACGCCCTCCCCGAGTTGATCAGGGAATGCATTCAGAGTTACGGATTTAGAACAACCCTAAATCTTCGTGGCTGTGTCTGTTTTGTCATGCTGATATGTGACCAGTGACAGCATTAGAAATAAGTCTGA